TTGCCAATGGATGTCAGCAATCCTTCGGAGACAACGATGATCGAACACAGAGAGTCGTCTAACATCCTCAAATCGGAGAGGCCAAGTTTCACAATCATAGAGCAAAACTGTTCTTACCAACGCGTTGTAGATCCGACGATTTACAGCCAAATTAACATCACGAAGGCGCCAAAGATGGCCCAGATTGGTATAAACCGTTCTGGCTTTCACTATACGTGATTGATCTCATCAGTCACTCACACCACCACCAATACTTATGCAGCTACCTAGTTACACGGACTTCTCGATTACTTCTATCCGCTGACCATCCAGGGTGAGTACAGGATTAGAATCCTTCCAGTTTCACAGAAGTACTTTACACTTCGAAGGTGTAAAGCACATACCATACCTACGGACACTGATTAGCCAACTGATTAAGTGCGGATTGCATGGCTTGGGCATTATCGCACAGTAAGACAATATCATCCGCATACTCAAGGTCGAGAAGTCTTTCTCCAGGCAACAGATCCACACCACCATTACTTACATCTATCAGAGCTGTTTCTAGAATGTCGTCGATGGCAATGTTGGAGAGGGATGGTGAGATTGGGCAACCCTGCCTAACCCCACTGCTCGAATGGAACAATGGTGAGAGGTGGTTGTATGCCCTCACTCTGCCTGAGGTGTTTGTATATAGGGCTTTTAGGATGTTAATAAACTTCTAAGGCACACCCTTTCTTCAATAAACAATCCCAGAGAACAGTCCTGTCCAACGAGTCGAAGGCAGCCCTGATGTCAAGAAACACTACGATTGTTGGCCTTTGATAAGTATGAAGGTGTTCTAACATTTGGCGGAGGGTGAAGATATGATCAATACATCCTCGACCAGAACGAAACCCAGCCTGCTCCTCGCGAGTCAATCTTTCTCGGGTTTTGAACAACCTACGAAGTATGACGGAAGCCAATAGCTTGGACGCAATCGGAAGTAAACTTATCCCCCGATAGTTGTTACAGGAACGACGTGAACCCTTTTTTAAGATAGGGACAACTATCGACTCATTCCATGACGTTGGTACACTCTCTAGCTCCCATACCTTTGTAAACAACGTCGTCAATTCCTTAGTCAGAAAGTCACCACCATCTTTAAAAAGAGCCGGAGGTAAGTCATCTGGGCCAGGTGATTTGTAGCGCTTCAAGAGTTGGAGTTCCTTGCGGACTTCCGCCTCATTTGGTGGATCAGTCGTCAAAGGCCATGGAGAGCAGGACAGTCTGACCGATGTTGCCGGAGCAGCAGGCCAGTTGAACTGCCCTTCGAATAATTCTGCCATCGTCCAAGACGTCGATGGAGGTTAGTGATTGGCATCCCGTCATCCTCGAAGATTGTTTCGCTCACACCAGACTTCTTGCTGCCAGTGGCTTGGATGAGTTGGAAGATCTTCCAGTAATTACCAGATGCAGCTGCTGCTTCCAGCTCATTAGCACGCTCCGACCACCAGGCTTCTTGGTCCTTACGCAAGCTTCACCCAATTTGATTACGCAACATCCTTCGTTTGTGGTAAAACTCACGGTCACCCGGAGTAGACCGACGGGCTTCAATGAATTGTAAGAAGCCAGAAGAAACCCAGTGCTTATAAGCGGGACGTTTAGTGAACCCACAACTGACTGTTCCTGCCATTTTCATGGCGTCATACAATTGCAACCTAGTCTAGAAACTAGCTCAGTTCGATACTTACTAGCAACAGAAGTTGCAACCAACCTGCTAACATCAATCCATTGGTGGCGGTCACTTCGTTGGCCACTGAAAAGTAAGGTCAGATTGACGCAGACCAGGGTATGATCAGAGTCCAGATAGGTACCAGACAAAGATGCCACAAGGTCCCCGGATAAACGCACGTAAAACAAGCTTTTTGAAGCGACAGATGGAGAGAGAATTTGTTGTACTTCACTAAAGTCTTGAATACGGGTCTCGGATAGACAACAAACGTCGTTATTAAGACTTTCCAAAGACATAGCCAGCCCTATCTATTGTCCGACCTGCATAAGTGTGCGAACGTTGAAGACAGCCAGCTTGAATGGTGCACGTGGTTTCAGAAAAACTGCTTCAGTATTCGTATTTGGTGGTAGCATACAATTTTCAACCAGGTAGTGAATCGAGAACGTTTAGATAGAACCAAGTTTCCACCACAGGCGAGCCGCTGTATAAGTAAAAAAATAGGGATACATAAAGTGGAAATAAAAGAGAGTGAATAAATGATGTAGTAAATAATAATTATTATTGTTTGGCTGTTAATCTAAGCGTGAATAGAATTTTCAGTCCCCAAATTCCCTGGTATGGCCGAGAGTGAGGAGAGTCAGCACTCTATCTCTGTCTCGAAATGCTCTCACATGGCCACACGTATACAACCTCTGCCAAGGAAGTCCTACTCACTGTCTTCTCGTGGCGGAGGTGTTGTTTACGAAAATGAGAGGACGAAAAGTGAATTTCCGGCGCTTTAACCGGATCCCAAACCAACGGTGCACATGGGCTCCAGCATCCTGAAAGAACAAATGCCGTATGAACCAATCGTCGGCCACCGGTTACCACAGGACTGCTCCATTGCCTTGTGGATTAAACCTTTAGGTCAAACGCTCGGGGTGTGGCCCCCTAAGAAAACCACCCGCTTCGGTCTGGGCACCCAGGCAGTATCACAGCCTACACACAAATAAAATGAAAATGACGATATTTACTGAAAATTCTATTCTGGAAGATGTGGAATCCTTCAAGTACCTGAGAAGCATAATCCATGAACAACGATGATCTGATGCAGACGTAAAGACGGGGATTGGCAAAGCAAGGGCCGCATTCCTATAATTGAAGAAAGTATGGAACTCAAAACAACTGTCTGTCAACCAATATCAAAGCCGCAATCTTCAGTACGAACATCAAGACAGTTCTAGTGTATGAAGGTGAAACTTGAACGACTACTACAACCATCATCAAGAAGGTGCAAGTATTTGTCAATAGTTGTCTACGTAAGATATTCAACATCCATTGGCCGGATAGCATCAGCAGCAGCCTACTGTGGGGGCAAAGAAACCAAATTCCAGTTGAAGAGGAAATTAGGAAAAGACGTTGAAGGTGGATATGACACACACCGGGGAGATCACCAAACTGCATCACGAGGCAAACGCTAACTTGAAATCGTGAATGGAATCGGAAAACAGGAAGGCCAAAAAACACGCTACGCCAAGAATTGGAAGCAGACATGAAAAGGATAAATAGCAATTGGAAAGGATTGTCGAGGACAGAGTTGTATGGAGAATTGTGGTGGTTGGCTTATGCTCCTTGACGAGGGTTAACAGGCGTAAGTAATTAACTTATATATATATATGCCAGAATTCTTGAATTTTGTCAATAATAGCCTTCGTTTAGAATATATGAAAGAATCCTAATACATCTTCCATTAATCTGTCGAAAAAGATATACGAATTTATTCAGTCACACAACACTGATTATGAGAAGAAACATTTCATCCAGGCATTTGTTTACCATATTAACTAATACTCATTCAGATTTATTTGTCGTAATCTTTAATGATTACAGTTTCCTTGAAAAAAACATTCCAGGTAAAGAGGAAAGACGATTGTCTGTGGATTGTGTAACTGATTTTAATCGTAATTTAGTTCCAAAAGTGGTTGGAGTGAATAAAGACACAGTTTACTGTGGTATGCTACTGATGTAGACAGATATAAGTAGTATGTATCATCAATCGAAAGTTAAATGCCTAGAAACAGAAGTTTAAGAAGATCGAAGGAAAGAGAACGAGAACAGAGGATGATTAGTGTGGAAACGAAGGAACAATCAAATCTAAGACGATTGATTGACACTTTGCAAATGAAGTATTTATTGTATGGTTCTTAGATTTTACTAATTCTGTATTCAAATACATTCAGTTATCCTTACTGTTGTTCTCGTTCACTACATTCTCAAAAGAACAGCATTTAACGAAAACTCCTCAAAAGCTCCAGAGACAAAATAGCATGTTCCAAAAAGCTTACAGAATGACAAGGTCACTCACGAACCTATAAAAATTCTTGCTGACGAGACTACAATCTGTAGACGAACCAGTCAGACTTAAGATAACGGGTCTTGGATTTTGGTGCGAAATTCATTCAGCTAACTAGTATTTTAGATGATGTCAGTTCGTGATGAAGACCCTTAATCTAATTCCTTACACTGGTTTATAACCTTCATTTGGTCCTAGGTAGTAAGTGGACACTTTCAAGGTCACTTTAGCGTCGCTCAAAGATCGTCCATAAATTATAGTCTCACCCTGAGAAATTCGGCAGTGGTTAAAGTCATTATCAAGTGTTCGAGTACCAGACTTATCAGTTAAAAAGTTTTGATTGATATATTTGAATAAACAGGACATGTAGACGAATAAACAGCTTAATGTTTATGGCTTACTCATCCCTGTTCGTATTTGGCCTATATTTTCTTCTATAAGGAGAGTCTAAATCAACAATATGGACGATATTCATTCAGTATATATAATGTAATAATGACGTGTTTAAGAACGCTTAGAACCCCTTCAATTTATTCGGAACTTCATGTACTTAATCAACCGGATCTATTCTGTTGAAGCTGTTGTTACCTACTAATTGTATGTTAGCCATAGTATTATCCACTTAGCTATTGAGTCCAGATAACCATTAGCTTGTCCAATAGAGTAGTAACTAATTAGATAAAGAGGTGTTTAAAACGAGCGATACTGGTTACGAGTTTTTGAGTGAACATCAACTTTGAAATGCAGGCGCATCTAGCTGACGAGTTCAAAGTAAGATGAAATGCGATTCTTAGATTCCACTGATAACCATCACCCATTTATGCTTAGAATAATTTGACACTTTCAAGCTATTATACTATACAGACAAGATAAATTTATCCTATTTGGAATTTCTTATTATTACACACAAGATATTGTACAAATCTATGATATATATATATATATATATATATATATATATATATATATATATATATATATATATATATATATATATACTGAAGTGTATTATTTTTCAGTATCAAATTTATCATTCATTTCATCTGTTAAAATCTCTTCGTCTTCTTCAACTTTTTCAGCTTGTATAACATCATCATCGGTATCAACTGTTGATAATCCAGTAAGTGGACTCACTATTTCAGCTGTAACACTAGAACGCCAATAACCATTAGGATTAGAATAAGAGTTCAATTGACCAATAATACATAATCGATCACCTTTAGTTAAATGTTTAACTTTATCCACAAATGATTGCTTGAAAACAAACACACTGTAATAAGTGGTGATTTTTTGTGTTATTTCGTAAAAGAAACAAAGAGAAAATAAATGGATGAAACTTGAATAGATTTCAGATGGGATATTAGCATTTATTTTAGCAAAAAAGTAATAATTAGAATGATTCTACCCTTGCTTATCTCCATGTTAAGGTGTAAAACTAAACTAACATGGAATAACTCGATGTTAAAACTTAAGGACAGTGAAAGAAACCCTGACAGTTCTTTAAGAAGCATGATATTCATGTCACATAGTTAACAATAGATTAATTAGAACAGTCAGCTAATTAGTTATGCGCACCTAAGAACCTGTTGTAGACAGGTTCAAGTATCAACGATATGTTAGTAATGCGGAGGATAGGCAACATAAATTCAGACATAGTAACGATAATTGAATTGGTATAACCGAAGTTGGTGGCTTGGACGTGTAACACAAATGTCATTCTAGCGAATTCCACAACGTGGGTTACTTGCGCATCCCGGAAGTGGTTGGCAAAAGTGGAGAGGTGGTCACTTTATGACACAATGTTGTGGCATGAAGGTAAACTGTACAGGACTAGCATATGTCGGTCCTTCACGACTGCTTAATTGAGGCCTTAGAGACAGTGTAACACAGTTGCTTGAAACATTATCAGATATGGATCAGGATAAAAGTCAGTGTTGGTCGTATTTTTCTTAGCTGAACTGCTCCTCTCTTATTTTTTTACTTTCATTCATTTATTTTCATCCTTCTTTTTGTTTTGTTCTTTTACGATTATACTCACCTTCTCTTCTCTATTTCTTCACTCTCTCAATTTCTTATTGTGGCATATATATTTTGGTGCCCCTTTGTGTCAGTATTTGTATTTAAATAAATAAATATGCACAGTAAGATGACATTTTCAGGGTCACCCCTAGAGTAGTACATGTAATAACAACCTAATAGTGGTAACAGAAAATATTACGCAACAAAAGTACGATTCCAGAGTAGAAAATTTAAGTTAGTGGGAAAATATATTGTAAGGTCATAAAGATTATGGGGGAGATAAAAAGTATATACAATTGCACCAACACGAACGATTTTGAGCCATATCAGCCAATCTCTAACCGTTGGTTACGATAATTACGCGGACCATCACCAGATATTCTGCACCCACCTACATGGGCCATAGTCCAAAAGAACACAGTGAATGTACCAATAAAACATGAGAAGACAAAACAAACACATGTTGCTGAAATGTCGGTGATAAGATTCAATCATTTAGCTGTGCATGTTTTGGCGAGATGGTTTAATGGTTTAAGCACTCAATTTTTATATACTAGTTACAGTTAAGTTGACTAAATAGTAATAACAGCAATTTTTACACATCGTTCACTAAATTCAATTATTTCGACTGTTTTATTAAAGCTCTAAAATTAAGAAGAGATTACGATTGATGAATATATATGTTACTGTAATCGATTTTAATCCATATCACTTAACGTTTTTAACTATTGATAACAATGCCTGCTTAGAATCTAATCAAGACGTAGAGACCACTGGACGTGGTTTATTCAAACAGCCACTAACTTTATGAAGTGATGCAGTGTTTTGTTTGGTCAACCCTGACCGTTTTCTTGCTTACTTCCATACTACCGAACATTAAATGTTGATGTGACTAGTGTCTAGACATGTGTCACGTTTATACTACCCCAATTAACGAAGGCTAGTACCTTTATTAGTTAAATTACCGTCTTTACCTAGTAAACTCTGCCTAACCTGAACAAACATATGGATATGAATGAATACTGATATGACATAAGTTTTGCCGAGAAGGCTAGTGTGACGCCCATTCTTCTAGGACTAGCGATGGTAGCGATTTTACCGTCATGAAGTATGATATATACCTAACCCAATGTCTTATTGCTCACACTATAAACCAATTCAGTTTGAGAGCAAATTATCAGCCTGATTAATAAATATAATAGTGAAAAGTGATTTTAAGGAAAATGAGGACTGAATACACTAGTAAATATTTTAGCAATGTTTAAGTTAAACAAACACCAGTAATCAATTAACTACAATAACTCGTTTATCACGCACAGATTCATGTCTCTGATTTTAAACCACAATCTAAGTCTGAATGACAGTGATATTACCGGTTTTCGATTCGAAATAGCATGGTTTATGGGCTGAAAAGTCAAACACATTAACCACTACTATTAAGCTTTAAAAAATAGTCATTTAACTATGCAGTAGTAACAATGATAATGGCAATAATAATAATCTTGAAATAGCAAAAACCATGTTGATTGATAATATAACTGGCTAATTAGAGCCTCCAAATGCACTTATAATGGCCGAGTGTGGGAAGAGTTAGCTCCCTCTCTGTCTCGAAATACTCTCACATGGCGACGTACATACAACTACTGCCAGGGAAGTCCTAATCACTGCCTTCTCGCGGCATTACTGCTGTTTACGGAATTGGGAGGACGAAAAGTGAATATCCGGTGCTTTAAACGGGTCGGTGGACACGAAGGGTTCACCCAGAGTTGGAAAACTCTGATTACAAACCAATGGTGTACATGGGCTCCATGATCCTGAAATGGCATATGAACCAATCGTTGGCCACTGGGTACCACAGGACTGCGTCTCCTGACGTCGCTCCACCGCCTTGTGGATTAAACCTTTGGGTCAAAGGCTTCGGGTGTGGCCCTTTAAGAAGGCCATTTGCTTCGATTTGGGCAACCGGGAAGTATCCCAGCCCTCATGCAAATCAAATGATTTATGTGGCGCATATCTATATGGTGCCTCCTTGTACTAATATTTATGTGTTTAAATAAATAAACAACTAATTACAGTAAACTTACGTATGAAAAGCTAAGGTAGATGAATATCCATTCGCAGTCATATAATTATTTTTCGTTACTAACCCAATAGATGCATAGACATTTTTATCATTAGCGCTTTCACTCAAATGTAAAAAAGTCACTTTACCTAACAGAACTACCTGCATGGAAATAAACAATAATAATTAGGAAATTACCTGATTTATATCATCTGATAATGTGTTAACTTGACGATATGATAATTTTCCAAGTGTTTTAAATAGTCTTGAGATAGTCTTTTGAGATATGTTCATAGTATTATTCCAAATCATCTATAAATCAAATTTTTCTTTTGAAATTATCAGTTTGATTAGAATAGATTATTGCAAGAGAATATATGAGTCACAAGTTGAAAGCTTAAATATCAAAACCACTGAAGACAATATTACTGAACTTTAAAATGGGTGATTATTAATGCAATAAATTGTCCTCAAATGTCATGGTACGGTGGAGAGTTGGGAGAGTCAGCTCTCTCTGTGTTTCGAAATGTTCTCACATGGCCACGTACATACAACTACTGCCAGGGAAGTCCTAATCACTGCCTTCTCGCGGCATTACTGCTGTTTACGGAATTGAGAGGACGAAAAGCGAATGTCCGGCACTTTAACTGTGTTGCTGAATATGGAGGATCCACCTAGGGGAGTTAGAAAACCGTGATTGCAAACCAATAGTATACATCCGATCCTTGATCTTGAATGAACGAATGGCGTATGAACAAATCGTTGATCACTGTCTATCACGTGACTGCATCTCTTGACGTTGTTCCACTTCCTTATGGATCAAATCTTTAGGTCAAAGGCTCGGGTAGTGGCCTCCTAAGAAAACCACCTGCTTCGGTCTGGGTAACCGAGCAGTATCCCAGCCCTCATGTAAATCGAATGATTTATGTGGCGTATATCTAATTAGTGCTTCCTTGTACCAATGTTTATGTGTTTAAATGAATAACCAAACAAGCGCAAAATTCGCTTATTGGATGGGAATCTCATGGACCAAGGATCATCAAAGCCTCGTTCAAAACAAAAAAGGAGGGCATTACAATGAATATCATCCAATGCTATGCGCCTACCAACGACTACAATGAAGACGCTAAAGATCAATTCTACAATAGGCTGCAGTCAATCGTCGAGAAATGCCAAACAAAGGACCTGGCCATTCTGATGGGAGATTTCAACGCCAAGGTTGGAATGGACAGCACTGGATATGAAGACATAATGGGACGACATGGACTGGGAGAAAGAAACGAAAATGGTGAGAGATTTGCAAACCTATGTGCCTTCAATAAACTGGTCATATGCGGCACCATATTCCCACATAAACGCATTCACAAAACCACATGGACTTCACCGGATCACACCACGCAAAACCAAATCGACTATATTTGCATCAACAAAACGTTCAGGCGGACTATAGAGGACGTGAAAACCAAGAGGGGAGCTGATATAGCATCAGATCATCACTTGCTGGTCGCCAAGATGAAATTGAAACTCAAGGAGCACTGGACAATGGGGCGGACACTATCACAAAAGTTCAATACGGCCTTTCTTCAGGATACTAGCAAACTCAACAAATTCAAGATAGTCCTCAGCAACAAGTTCCAGGCCTTTCATGATCTACTCAATGAAGAAGGAACTACTGTGGAGAGCAACTGGAAGGGGATCAAAGAGGCAATCACTTCAACATGTCATGAGGTCCTGGGTCACAAGAAGCACCATCACAAAGAATGGATCACTGTTGATACACTGGATAAGATTCAAGAAAGGAGGAACAAGAAGGCAGCAATCATTACCAGTCGAACAAGAGCAGAAAAAGCCAAGGCACAAGCTGAATACACAGTGGTAAACAAACAAGTGAAGAAGAGCATCAGAACCGACAAACGTAAATACGTGGAAGATCTAGCAAAGACGGCGGAAAAGGCTGCAAGAGAAGGGAACATGAGACAACTGTATGACATAACAAAGAAACTCTCTGGAAATCGCCGCAAACCAGAACGACCAGTGAAAAGCAAGGAAGGCGAGGTAATCACCAACATTGAAGAGCAACAAAACAGGTGGGTAGAACACTTCAAAGAACTCTTGAATCGACCAGCTCCACTGAACCCACCCAACATCGAAGCAGCACCCACGGACCTCCCAATCAACGTTGGCCCACCAACAATTGAAGAAATCAGCATGGCCATCAGACAAATCAAGAGTGGCAAAGCGGCAGGACCAGATAACATTCCAGCAGAGGCACTAAGAGCAGACGTAGCGGCAACTGCAAGGATACTCCACATTCTCTTTAATAAGATTTGGGATGACGAACAAGTACCAAAAGACTGGAAAGAAGGACTTCTGATCAAAATACCGAAGAAAGGCGATCTCAGCAAGTGTGATAACTGCAGGGGCATCACTCTTCTCTCAATACCGGGAAAAGTCTTCAACAGAGTATTGTTAAACAGGATGAAGGACTGCGTAGACGCCCAACTTCGTGACCAACAGGCAGTATTCCGTAAGGATAGATCGTGTACAGACCAAATCGCAACTCTACGGATCATTGTGGAACAATCAATTGAATGGAATTCATCACTCTACATCAACTTCATTGACTACGAAAAGGCATTTGATAGCGTGGACAGAACAACACTATGGAAACGTCGTTGACACCACGGCATACCTCAGAAGATAGTCAATATCATACAGAATACCTATGATGGATTACACTGCAAACTCGTGCATGGAGGACAGTTGACAAAGTCGTTCGAAGTGAAGACCGTTGTTAGGCAAGGTTGCTTACTCTCACCCTTTCTCTTTCTCCTGGTGATCGACTGGACCATGAAGACGTCAACATCTGAAGGGAAGCACGGGATACAATGGACATCTAAGATGCAGTTGGACGATCTGGACTTCGCAGATGATCTGGCCCTTCTATCCCAAACGCAACAACAAATGCAGGAGAAGACGAACAGTGTAGCAGCAGCCTCAGCAGCAATAGGTCTCAATATACACAAAGGGAAGAGCAAGGTTCTCCGATACAACACAGCATGCACCGATCCAATCACAATTGACGGAGAAGATTTGGAAGATGTAAAAACCTTTACATATTTGGGCAGCATCATTGATGAACAGGGTGGATCTGATGCAGATGTGAAGGCGCGGATCGGCAAAGCAAGAGCAGCATATTTACAACTGAGGAACATCTGGAACTCAAAGCAACTGTCAACCAACACCAAGGTCAGGATTTTCAATACAAATGTCAAGACAGTTCTACTGTATTGGGCAGAAACCTGGAGAACTTATCACTACCCTGGTAATCTTTTTGTTTCTGTTTGTTTTGTGTTTTGGTTATTTTGTTCATTTACTTATTCTAAGATATTTTATACTCCCCCCTATTACCTAATTTTTAAAATAAATTTTATTCACACATTTCCACCACCTGATCCTCTTAAATTATTTTAACTTTCCAAATTCTATTTAATTATTATTACGTAATCTACCTTATCATTATTTAATTTCATTAATCTCTACAATTATCACAATTTATGAACTTCACTAAATTATTACACCACCCACCCTGGATTAACCCCCCCCCTCTTTTGACCTCTGACCTGTTTCTAGCATATATATATATATATATATATATATATATATATATATATATATATATATATTATTGTAATCCAGTTATTTACACTCATTTATGTCAATTGTTTTCACACTATCTCCATGTAAAAATTCTATCACAATTCTGGTTTGTAAGCAGCTGACGAGAAACCTCGAAATAATATGAATTCATACTATTCTGCATCAATGTTTGTTCTTGCTCTATTCAAATTCATAAAGGGAACCAATTGCATGAAATTGTGATTTAAAATGAAGAACTGAAAATTGTCTCTGAACGACTATAGAATTAAACGCAGGGAGATTTTTTTACTTAACTTTGAACTTATCTAAAACAATCATATAGATAAAAAGAGAGTATTACTGTTGACTATCGTTGAAAATCATCCTGAACTCTGACTATTGTCTAAGTTGAGTTGAGATACTAGTGACTATTGAGTATATACAAGAAATAGGTCAACAAGACTCCTCTTTACGACCTATCTAAAGATCATGACAATAGTTGTACTCATAGGGGAACTGATGAAATAGATACTGAGGAAATTAAAATAACTTACATATTAAGATAACCTGCTAACATATAAATTTCGCTATAAAAAACAATAACAAAGATAATTAATTCATGATCAGATGTAAGCAAAAGTCAGTAGGTCTTTAACAGTTTACTCGAACTAAGTGGTTTGTGAATGTTCATATCTCATTAATAGAAATCCAAACAGGCAGAAACATCAATAAAAACAGTGTGAGTCTGAGGGATGATACAACACTTATTCTTTAAAGTTAGAGTGGTAAGGCTGAGTTATATACATAAGAATAGTTTTAGCTTCATCTATTTAATACATAACAAAAGCAATCTTGGTTTTGGATTTGTCAAGTGATATGAACTGTGTTTAAGGTAAATAAGGGTAGATTATATTTTAATCGTGCAGTCCACATGAATGTTCAAGTGTATTCAAATATTACAGTAAATAAATGAACCATAAAAACCATGCTTTTAGATTATCCAGAATGTAAGTAAATATTTTAACGTTGTTTACAAATAAGGAGTACTTTAGAAAATCTACCATTTAGTATACTCTCGTTCAAAAAAACAGCTTCAGGTGAAAACGAGCGGAATAAAAATGAAATTAACTACGGAACAAATTAGCTAAGTAAACAGAATGTTTATGACTCTAACAGTACGGCGATAAATAATTTTTACTCTAAGAACCAATAGTTGACAACGTGTGTTGTAAAAATAATACATCTAATGGTGCAATTATAGTAGGAACGCTCGTAGCTTCACGACTTAAATGTTATAATCTGACCACATCCAGGGGAACCTACCATAACAACCAAGTAAGGGATTTCTGACAATTATATTGTCACAAGAAATATTAAAACTTGAAGAACGTCAAAAGCCTTCTAGCTGAACGATGGTTAAACTCTGAAGTTAGATTTACATATATGTACTATACATCTATACAAGATACTTTATCCATTGGATTAATAATATCCGCAACAACCCACCATAGCAACGAACAAAACAACTTTTAACTGAAGAGGAAATTAAGAAAAGACGCTAGATGTGAGTAGGAGATACACTGTGGAAATCATCAAACTGAATCACGAGGCAATCCCTAACCTGGAACCCTAAAGACAGAGGGAAAAAGGGTACCGAGAAACATGTTACGTCGAGAATTCGAGACAGACGTCAAAGAAATAAGTAACAGCTGGAAATAACGGGAAAAGAACCCAGGACAGAGTTGGTTGGTGAGTCCTGGTCGGCAGCCTATGATCCACTAAGGGTTACAGGCGTATGCAATCAAATATATCACACATTGATATATCACCTGCTTTTAAATAAAGATATATAACTCTTAAGGTATAATGTACAACAGAGTATCAAGATATTTCGTGTTGGTCGCTGACCAATATTTCTGTGAGTCATGTTTGGATGGGTAATACAGCAAGAAAACTACATTCCAAACCCTTTCTATCAGTTTCGAAAATGATCTGAAAGTACTACTAAGCTGATTTAGATTGCAACTAATGCCTATCAACTGGTCATGATTTTTACATGCACAGTGGTTACGCTAATGTAAGGACATACAACAAAGAAGCGTCAATGTCTTTAGTCATATTTAGTGACATTAGGTTTTGACCTAAGAACAGTAGCACGCAGTTGTTTGATTGCAGTAAAAGGGTGTAGAACGCTAGGATATATATTGGCTAAGTGAGACACGAAAATTCACTGCAGTGTTTCCATCCCGATTGATCTTGGACTGCAAGCCCAGATTATAAGGTATTTCCGCTACGTTGAACAAAATGGAGAAAACAGCTAACCGAGTAACTGAAAAAATCCAAGGTTTACCGTACACACTAAGGTTTAAGGTTTTTGACATGCTTATTTCGTGTTACAGCAGAATGTTGTGATATGGCTTTCACAAATAAAGTACGAAAGAATGATATCGAACCTGACATTTTTTACTTCTACGTATGTTGGGAAAACTCCGAGAACATAGAAAGTGAGTTCGAAAGTCAAGAACGGACAATATCCATATGATACACAGGTTTCCGTATTGAATATTAACAGAGCCTATGCCAATCTACCAATGCCGGGATTACATTTTGGCGAACTTCGGTGAATCTTGTAATGAATTTCAGGTCTTGGAGAAATCTGGGAGCTATATCCTAAACTTATATATATATATATATATATATATATATATATAATGTATATATATTTTATTTCCTAAAAAATTACCGGAAGTTAATCAGTTCCATCCCAAGCTTTGAAGCTTGGAACTACATTGAGAGGTGTAAATATCTTCAAATAACCTAGTGAATGAACAATTAGGAACGCATGGGAGCTTACCGATAAAAAGTTAACAAAAACCACCAGCCTCATACAGAAAGCTGGTAGTGTATCCTTAATACATAAATTTCAAACTAGAATATAAAACCTTATTCCCAGAAGTAGTTATTTACATCATTTATCTCAGACGACAACAAGAGTGTGACAAAGGTAACGTGATTATCAAACTCTTGCCCTGTTGTACATTGTTAACTTTCACTACCTACCCAGTAGGTAGTCAACGTAGTCAACAAATGAGATTAGTCAATATTTATATATTCCGTAGTTTCACCTAATTTATACAATTATTATGGATGAGTTTGAAACGCTGTTAGATCGCTATGTAGATTTCCCTGTATTGCAGGACTGCAGTCAAACATGTTTGATTATGCCATATTTGTGTCGGGTTCAAAGCGTTACGTGATCAAATATCGATCCTTACTGTCTCGATTTCACACTTTTATGGCTGCAAACTGTCGTCGATTATCTTCCTTATTAAAAGATTGCGTATTTTGTTCGTTTGCTAAGTCATCGGCTCATTAATTTCATTGTAGGGGTAAATAAATCCCCAAACTAAATAGCTCTGTAAGTTTTCGACACTGGATGCTGATCATATGTTTTAGTGGACTCGTCTAGCTGAAGGCGCCCGGTCATGCATCCGCACCAGATCACGTGTGGTAACGCTGTGCTGAACATCTATCGCAATCGCTAGCCAGATTAGATCAGAGAATTCCGATATATTGGTTATCGCCAAATACACTCTTCCGATCTCCTGGACTCTGTCCTTTGATTTCTCTCGGTGGGTACAATTTATATAAGAAGGTGTTGCTGGTAAAAGCGCTGTCAAACACAGAATACCTGTATCATCCTCATTGGGGAGACCGACGTGATCTGATACACCTAAATGCAACTGTGGGTCTGTTCCATTTTGGGATTTTTATATATCATCATCTTATTTTTTATTTTTTAAACATTGTGATTTTTTTCGTGTTTTTTCTTGGATATATATATTTTCCTCTCGTTCATTATCGTACTTCATATTTTATCATGACTGAACAGACACCCAAAGTACTCAAGCTTAACACTTTGTCCCCGCCTTCGTTTCAACTCATGCCTTTCTGACCCGACAATATCGAAGCCTGGTTCTGCTACGCAGAAACCGACTTCTCCGAGCACGGCGTGATCGACACACGTGCACAATTCCTCTCAGTAGTCAGGGCACTACCGCGGGAATTCAACAGGTACGTAACACCTAGAATGTTTACTAGTGATGTTTCCGAACCTTACGAAATCTTAAAGCGTTCGATTCTTAAACGACGAGACCTAACCGAACGACAAAGGTTAGATCAACTCTTCGATAACATCGACTTACAATACAGTTCTGCGACGGACATGTTGCAACGAATGAGAGAGTTTATAGGCCTAAGAACTTTCGATGATGGCCTATTTAAACAACTTTTCTTGTGCTAACTGTACTTGTCTCTTTTCTAAACAACGCCTAAGACGAGCTGGCTGCATCTGACGATCGTATTTTAGAAATTACAAAATCTACTACCGAGGTATTTTCAGTCAAAGAAAAGCTTCACGCGAGACAGAATGACATAACCGAGTTATGTCATACACTCACGTGTTATCTTAATCTTCGTAACGACTGTAGTCGCTCACACACCTCACGTAGAAGCATTTCACGTAAGCGATCTGTCTCTAGACCACGAGAGACGGATAACCCCGACTGGTGCTGGTATCATAACCAGTATGGAAAGTCTTCCTGAAATTGCAGAAAACCTATGCAATTTTCCCAACACGAAAACGACTGACTCGAAAAACAACTCGGGAAACTTTCAAGCCAGCACGCGTTAACGGCAACCGTAACCTGCGAAAACAGCCGTCTGTTGTACGTCACAGATGTGACAACGAGAGTTCGCCACCTAGTCGACACTGGCGCAGAAGTTAGCGTTCTCACGAATCTACTTTAAACTTACAGGCGGCAATCGGAAAACCGATCGCTGTGTGTGGCAAAAGGTTCGTTTGCCTGAACGTGGGTTTACGCAAACCCATTCACTGGATCTTCATTGTTGCAGATGTTTTTATGCCAATCATTGGTATGGACCTCCTATAACACCATAATCAAATCATCGATGCGCGCAAACGGAGGCTTGTAGAGGGAAACACTAATTTATCCGTTTGCGTAACTTCTTCTTCTGGTTGCAGATTATCCCCAGTCACACTTAAACATACGATAGATCCACTTTATCAACCACTACTCGATAAGTATCCTGGGATTCATCAAACGCAATCGAAATTACCGTGTGTAACCAGCAACGTTAAACATCACATCACGACTACAGGACCACCTGTATTCTCTAAAGTACGACGACTAGCTCCTGAAAAAGCTAAGGTTAGCGAGAAACGAATTCGATCACATGATAGACTTAGGAATCATACGACCGTCAAACAGCCCATATACATCTCCGTTGAACATGGTCCCTGAAAAGGACAGCAACGATTGGCGTCCAACCGGCGACTATCGGCGATTGAATGCGAAAACCATTCCCGATCGTTACCCGTTGCCTCACATTCACGATTTGATAGCTACTTTGAAAGGTACAACTGTTTTTTCGAAAATCAACTTGGTTAAAGCGTATAACCAAATTCCCATGGCCACTGACGACATACCGAAAACAGCTATCATTACTCCATTCGAACTCTATGAATTTTCGCGAATGCCTTTCGGTCTAAGAAACGCTGCGCAAACATTCCAAAGATTCATAGACGACGTTTTTCGAGGTCTCAACTTCGTACATGCGTATGTTGACGACTGCCTAATCGCAAGTCCGGACAGAGAATTACGTCTCAAGCACCTGGATCTTGTTTTCGACCGACTACATAAACATGGCATTACTGTAAACGTTCAGAAATGCCAATTCAAAACAAACGCATTAGACTTTGTAGGACACACTATAGATGCTTAATGAATTCGACCACTTAGGACAAAAGTGGCGGCAATTCTGGATTACCCGGAACCGACCACGATCAAGCAACTACGAACGTTTAACGGCCTTGTAAGTTTCTATAGACAGTTCATACCGAAATACGTCTTACTCATGAAACCTCTAACCGACCAACTTCGTGGAAATGCGAAATCCATTAATTTGGAAGACAACGCACGAAAAGCATTCTCCATCGCTAAAGCAATAATGCTTGCACATCAGGACACCCGAGCACCCATTAGTATCGCAGTAGACGCATCCGACTCAGTAATCGGAGTAGTCTTACAACAATAGGTCCACAACTCCTGGCAACCTTTGGCATTTTTCTCTAGACGGTTGCTAGACACCGAATCGTGTTACAGCACATTCAGTAGGGAACTCCTAGCTATGCATTGTGCTGTACGTCATTTTCAACACTACATCGAATGTCATGAATTCAGTCTTTTCACTGACCATAAACCGCTCACCTATTCTCTAATCTCTTCTTCATACAAGTAGTTTTCAGACAATCTACCAATGTCGGGATTACATTTTGGCGAACTTCGGTGAATCTTGTAATGAATTTCAGGTCTTGGAGAAATCTGGGAGCTAAATTCTAAACTTATGTATATATATATATATATTTTATTTCCTAAAAAATTACCGGAAGTTAATCAGTTCCATCCCAAGCTTTGAAGCTTGGAACTACATTGAGAGGTGTAAATATCTTCAAATAACCTAGTGAATGAACAATTAGGAACGCATGGGAGCTTACCGATAAAAAGTTAACAAAAACCACCAGCCTCATACAGAAAGCTGGCAGTGTATCCTTAATACATAAATTTCAAACTAGAATATAAAACCTTATTCCCAGAAGTAGTTATTTACATCATTTATCTCAGACGACAACAAGAGTGTGACAAAGGTAACGTGATTATCAAACTCTTGCCCTGTTGTACATTGTTAACTTTCACTACCTACCCAGTAGGTAGTCAACGTAGTCAACAAATGAGATTAGTCAATATTTATATATTCCGTAGTTTCACCTAATTTATACAATTATAATGGATGAGTTTGAAACGCTGTTAGATCGCTATTTACTTTTAACGGTATGTTATTTAAACAAACTAACGGTGTAGCGATGGGATCCCCCGTGTCCCCGATTGTAGCCAAACTTTTTATGGCATACATAGAATCAGATATCTTCGCCCACAACATTATACCACGAATTTGGCTTAGATATGTAGATGATACATTTGTTATTATAAAAAAAGACTCATCTAAGATCTTTTTCAAAACGAATAAATACACTTTCATCGCACATCAAATTCACGAATGAAAATGAAAATGTACATGGTGAGCTACCATTCTTGGATTGCTTCGTAAAAAGAAATCCAACTGGAAGTCTAAACCTTTCCATTTACCGAAAACCGACACATTCAAATCGTTATATTGACTTCCATTCAGCACATCCTTTCAGTGCAAAGATCTCACTAGCCTTAAATCTTTTTAGAAGAGCTAACAAGATCATCACATCAGAGGAAAACAAACAAAAAGAACAAATGAATATAGTTAGCATCTTACAATTTAATAATTTTCCTATGAAGATTATTAGAAGCATATTAAAACAAAACAGTTTATTACAGTCTAATAATGATTCGAATGAAATGCCGTGGATTGGTACTGTAGTTCTACCATACCGTCATGGCACAACAGAAGAAATCCAAAGAATCTTAAAACATCACAAAATCAAAGTGTATTACAAAACATCGGACACACTACGTAATACTTTAGTTCGCCTGAAAGACAAAATCCCTTTCATGTCCACACAGAACTGCGTCTACAAATTAGGTTGTATCGATTGTGATGCCTATTATATTGGAGAGTCGTCCCGCGAAATCTTAACTAGAGACAAAGAATATATTAGGTACACAAAGAAACCTCCTAACAATCCTGTAGAATTGAACCAACTTCCAATTAAATCGGCAATAGCAGTTCATGCCATTTTCAATAACCACCAAATCGATTTTAAAAATATCAAAATATTGCAAAAAGGCTTTTCTAACTACAAAAAAAGGAGGGTAGCTGAGGCGTTCCATATAATGCTTAATCCTACTTCTCTCAATAGAAAGGAAGGTCTTACTATACATCCTACTTGGACCATCTATCCGAGCCACTCAGTCTGATCGTATTTACAATTTCACACTATCATATCCTTTCTTACCATAAAGGTCACACAAGTTTTCATTCTTAAACAATACACATATACATA